CTTTGGGTTGTCTTACAAAATTGGGGGGAAAAAAGTAGTTTCTCTAAAGAACTTAAAAAGAAAAGGCTTGTGTTCTTTTGCAACACAGCTTAGCCTCAGAATCACCTGAGGACCATGAAGCATGGCCCATTTTTGGGTCTTTACAATACAAATACTCTCTTATAGCTAGATTTGTACTGTCTGTCACCAATAAGGAAAATGGATTGAAATACCCTACATAATGGTCTTCATCGATCTCTCTTGGGACCCTATTCTCAGAAAAGATTGTAAGATGCTCATAGCTAGAGCCACCCCACAAAAGAGGAATGGGGGCCAAATAAATTACCCCCTTCTTGTGCCCTCCCCAGGGCTTCACCCTCCCCTTCCCTGCCTCCATTCCCACTACCTCCCCAGCTCCTCTCCCCACTCTATTCTCCCCCTGGCCCCTCCTGCTGCTCCCCATTCTGCCCCGGTCTTCCCTGTTTCCCATGACCCCCTCCTTGGCCACTCCCTGTTTCCCTTAGTTTTCCTTCCCTTTTCATCTAGCCCATCCCTCCTTGTTTCCTGCCTTGTTCACCCATCACATCGCCTACCCTGCATCTCCTGCCCTGGTCCCTCCTCCTGTGGCAACGCTCACTCAGGTCCCAGCCTATGGGACCGCTCCCACAGCAGTCTCTGAAGTATCTCTACCTCTGATCCCCTCCCCCTCCTCAGGTGCCAGCTGATCTTTCCCTGGCCTTGAAGTCCAATCTAGTTCAGGCAGCACTCCCCAGCTCCTCCCTCACAAGAAGTGGGACTTCTTATCTCCCTTCTAAGGCCCCGTTCCCACAGCACCTTCAAGACTTTTTCCTTTAAGGGAAATAGCTGCTTCACCTAGTGGGACAATTAGAGTGCATGTTCCATTCTCCATCTTGGCATTTTGGACCTCACTTAGGTTAAAGAGAAACAGGCGATATTCCAAAGATCCCACAAAGTTTACTGAGGGCTTTGGGGGTGTGGTACCACTGAAGAGAAGAGATTCTGGGAAAGCCCAAAAATATGGGTATTGTTTGGCTAGCTTTGACCCCATAAAATACCACCCCCTCCCCCCAAGGAACAGCTGCTTCCTTGGAGCAGGATGGGATTATCAAAAGAGTGAGGATAGGGGAAAGAGAGACCATATAGTAATTTGCCTGTTAGAAGGCCTAAGAATGGCATTTCAAAAGCAAATAAATTTTCAAAAAATTAAGGAAATTACTCAGGGAGAAAAGGAAAACCCTGCCCTTTTCCAAGACTGGCTGGTAGAAGCTATTAAGAAGTATAAATATTTAGATCCTGACTCTCTAAAAGGGGCAGCAATCCTTAGCATGTATTTCATTAATCGGTCTGCCCCAGATATTAGGAAGAAACTGCAGAAATTAGCAATGGGACCCCAAGCACCTCAAGCCCAGTTACTGGAGAGGGCCTTTGGAGTCTTTAACAACAGAGACCTAGTCACAGCAGAGGAGAAAGAATGCAGGGAATGGGCCAGAGACAGAGAATATGCTCAATTCTTGGCTGCTGCCATGGCCAGGAAAAGACCCAAGGGTGCTCCTGGTGACTCAGGCAGTGAGGAAATCTGCTTTTAATGCCATAAGGAGGGCCGCTGGTCCAAGCAGAGCTCCTCTAGGGCACATCCCAGGGAGGAAGCCCCCAGGACTGATACCTCTGGGACTGTGCCCACGTGACCAAGAGGGACATTGGAGGTTGGAAAAGTGGTGGAGTCACTCCCCAGCATCCAGTCTTCTCAAGACTGAGAATGATGGGAGGGCCTAGGGCTTGGCAGTGCTCCAACTTTCTCCATCTCTCTTGAGGCCAAAAGTAAGGTTACCTGCTTTATCTTTTTTGCTTTGGCCCTACTCGCCCTTCAACTCGTTGGTCGGGTCATGGGTATCAAAGGGAAAACTAAAAGATGTCTCAGAGACATACCCTCTCCCCTGCCTATTTGAGGATCTGTTGTTTGAACACTCCTTTGTTATCACCCCCTTGTTGGGAAGTGATCTGCTGGTGAAAATGGGGAGCGAATTTTCTCTAGTTAAGAGAAGTCTCCCTTTTCCCTCTGTTCACCAGATCTCCCCATGTTCCCTTGGAAGTGTGGGAGACAGTTGAGCAAATTGTTTGGGATCAGGGAATTCCTGGGCAAGCTATTCATGCCACCCCAGCTTTTGTTTGCCTCTGAGATCCTAATGTGTTCCCCCATCTCTGTCAATATCTAATTAAGCCCAAGGCCTGGAAGGGAACTGAAACCATTAATTGAAAAATTCCTTAAGTATAAAATCCTCGTCCCTTGCCAGTCCCTGTATAACACCCCTATCTTTCCCATAAAAAATGCCAAATGGTGAGATCTCAGGGCTGTTAACGAAACTGTTATTCCAATACACCCCATAGTTCTTAACCCATACACTATACTCACTCAGGTCCCTGGGGATACCCAATGGTTATTCACCCTGGATCTCAAAGATGCCTTTTTCTGTATACCTCTTCACATAGACTCACAATTTATTTTTGCCTTTGAATGGACACTCCCTGGGAAATCAAGTCCATGTCAGCTAACATGGACAGTCTTGCCCCAAGGGTTTCAGGACAGGTCCCATTTATTTGGCCAGGCTTTGGGAAGGGATTTAAGGGACCTGGAACTACTGATAGTAGCTTAATTCAGTATGTGGACGATATTCTTATTTGTAGCCCCACATAGGAGGCTTCTCTGGCTGCTGGCACAGGAGCTCTTAATTTCTTGGGCACTCAAGGCTACAGAGTCTCTTTGAACAAAGTACAGATAGCATGGCAGTCTGTAAAGTATCTGGGCCACAAACTAACACCTCTCACTCCTTAACCTCAGAGAAGAAAAGGATAATCCTGCCTATCCCTGTCCCAGCCACCAAGAAAAAACTTAGCACTTTTCTAGGCATGGCTGGATTTTGTGGACTTTGGATCCCTAATTTTTGTCTTATTGCTAAGACCCTTTATGACTCTACTGAAGGCCCTGACTCACTCCCTCTAGAGTGGGGCCCCAACCAGGCTAAAGCTTTTGAGACTGTGAAAACTAAATTGATCAACATTCCAGCATTAGCTCTACCCAATTTGGATAAACCTTTCACTCTATATGTTGATAAAAGGAGAAGACTGGCTTTGGGAGTCCTAATCCAGTCCTTAGGACTTGACCTCAGGCTGGTTGCCTATTCTTCAAAACAAAATCTTTTTTCTATAAAAAGAGTCAGTCTCATCTACCCAGTGCAGATTTTTAGAATCATGCCCACCCTGACTAGTCTAATAAACCTTGTCTTTGACTGAAAGAAGGCTTGGGTCAAATTCATTTGAGGCAGGACCAGCGTTGTTATTTTGGGGTCCTAGCACCCCTAAACCTCAACAGTTGTAAACCTTCAACCAGTCCTAAATCACCCAAGTGCTCTGTCTTCTAGCCCACACCTATCCATCTTGTTTACAGAGACAGCAAGGAAGATTTTATCAAATGCTTTGCTAAAATCTAGGTGAACTACGTGCAAAGCATTCCTCTGAATCACCAGTCTGGGAATGCTGTTAAAAAAAAAAATGACTTGAAGTTGGTATGACCTCATCTTAATGAGACCAGCAATCCCTTTCATAATTTATTCTAGAATTTGGCCAAAGTAAAGCTTTCTCTTGACTGTACCATACCTTATAGGTATCATCTTTTATCTCTCCCCCCTTTAGATTCAGACTCCTGGAAAGAATCATCTTTACTGACAGTCTCCATTTCCCCACCACCCACTCTCAAGGTCACTCTGAAGAACTTTGGAATTGGGGGCCAGCTAGGTGGCACAGTGGATAGACCATCGACTCTGGAATCAGGAGGACCTGAGTTAAAATCCAGTCTCAGACCAGACACTTGACACTTACTAGCTGTGTGACCCTGGTCAAATCACTCAGCCCCAATTACCTCACCAAAAAGCAAAAAAAAAAAAAAACAACTTTGGAATTGACTATATGACATGTGAGACACTGGCACAGGAATGTCCAGCATGGCGTGCCCTGATCAGAGAAGGTGCTGTGCTCTATGAGCAAAGCAGAATTGAAATAGCTCAAGAGAAACACAAGATGTGCAAATTTAGAGAATCCCTTCCAAATGTTCACATGGACTGTTTGTGCCCCACCTGCGGTAAAGCATTCCTGAGCTCACATTGTTCTGATCTGCCACAGTTGGATGCATTGTAACTTGACTCTAACACAGTGATGTCATTTTGGTCAATAACCAGCCACCCACTTCTCAAAACCTTGTCATCTGACTTCTGACCCTATTACTGTATTGAAACTTCTTTATAAAAGGTTATCAGTGATCTCATAACTGCTAAATGGTATGAAAAGTTTTCAAAAGAATTGCAAACTACTAATAACCATATGAAAGCATATTCTGAATCACTAACAGTATGAATAATACTTCCTGCAGGCTACTCCCTCCCAACCCCACTTGCATTCACACCTGCAGGTTGGGTCCATAGTGGAGTGACTACTACCTTAGGTACTAGGGGTAACTCTTTGGGTGGGTACTCCTACTGAAATAGTTCATGAGCCCCACCAGTGTACTTCCCATTATTAGTCAGGCAGTAGATTTAATTAGCTTTTAGCAAAGATAATAAATAAGCAATAATAAATAACTCCATAAGAACAAAATATTCCCCACCAAAATTTAGAGTGTTCTCTTACACAAATATACACAGCAGATATGGGAAGAATGGGCTTAAACGTAACATACAAAGGCAATAAGGCCCTTATGCAGAACACCTATGGCAAAGGGTAATTCAACTCTTGGTACTATATAGCCTAGAAATCCTTTCCTTGAGTCCATAGCTGGCATTTCCTTGCCTTGTAGATATTATGCTCCTTGAATCATCTTCCTGCCTTAAGCTTAGGTAATTCTCTCTATATCCTTCCTATCTATCTATCTATCTATCTATCTATCTATCTATCTATCTATCTATCTATCTACCTATCTATCCATCCTATAGATATCTATATCTATATTTATCTATCTATATCTATATTTAGAGATAGATATAGATAGATATCTTATATATCCTGTCCTCAGGTGAGGGTCTCTGATCATGCTGGATACATTGTCTCTTACTGGTCCAGTAGCTCTGATGACATGGCCAATGGGGGTGGAAAGGAGAGAAAGTCCCTTCCCCCACCTTGTTGTCTTCTAGTACAGGTGAAGGGATCTACCTCCACAAAATATGCTAGAGCCGGGATTCTTAAAATCCTGAACTACTATTGCTGAAAGCCCTCCAGCTATTTAAATCCCTAAAGGTCTGAGCCAATGGACAAGTTTCCTTCTTGACCCAAAGATGTCTGTATCTCATAAACATAGAAACATCTTAATTATACATTAAACCCCATCATTTATAATTACATCAACTATGATTATATCAGCTTAGCTGGATAGGAGGGAAGGAAATCATAAACCTCCTCGGTTACATAAAAGAAATATAAATTAATATAATCCTAAAGCAAATTGACAAAGATTGAAAAAACATTCAAAGTCAATGCTGAAAGGGCTATTAGAAGGTACTAGTGGGAAAGCAATGAACAGTCTAGTCATTCTGGATATCATTTTGAAATTATTCAAAAAGTGATTAAATCACTATCTTTTGACTCAAAGATTATACATAGTCTAAGGCATATACTCAAAATAAGTCAAAGCTGAAGTTAAAGACCCACTATTTGCCATAATATTAATAGCCTTTCTCTTGGTCATAGCAAAAAAAACGAAAAGGAGTGACTGAGCCACCCATTCAGGGAATGGCTAAACAAAATGTGGCATGTGACCGTAATAAAATGCTACTGTGAATAAGAAGTGACGATAAAGAAGAATTCAGAGAAACATGAGAATATTTACATGAATTGATCAAGGATAACATAAACAGAACTAGAAAAACAATCTTCGTGAATATAAATGAAAAGATCATTAAGATGAAGTCAAACTTTGAGTAATTAAAAAGTCAATAACAGTTCCAGACAACACATAATGAAACATATGTCCCTCCTCTTGTCAGGGAGATAAAGGACTGTGATGACAAAATGTTGCATACATTTTCATATGTAGTTGCTGTAGTTGCTATTTAAAGCAGGCAGGGAGGGTTTACCTACATATGACTGGGAAGTGAAAAAAGAAAAAGGATTCAATAAATTATTTAAAAGTAATTAAAATATAACATATCCAGTGGCCTTTTGTCACTTCTCATCTTCCTTTACTTCTCTGGAGTTCTGTTCATCTCTCATTTCTGTCCTTTTTTCTCCTTTCACATGGTTACCAGGATAGTTCAGGCCTTAATAACCATGCACCTAGATTTCTGTTTGTTCTCCTTGCTTCCCATCTCTCTCTTCTTCAATCAATTCCACACACAGCTGATAAAATAATCTTCCTAAGGTAAATGTCTGACAATATCACTCCTCTGTTCATATTTCTACTGCGGTTATCTATTGCTTTAAGGATAAAATATAAAAACCTCATCCTGGTATTTAAGGCTTGCCACAATTTAACTCCAACCTACTTTTCCAGGTTTATTTCACATTATTCCTCTTTATACAGTCAACATTACAGTCAAACTAGACTTCTAGCTGTTCCTAGATATCAGCATTCCACCTGTTGACTCCTAAATTCTAGGTTCTAGAGGCGTAATCTTTTCCCCTCACCATCTGCTCTTTTAAATATGTAACTTTTGTAGCAAATCAGTCGTCATACCAAAAAGTGAAAGGCAACTTTTACATCAGAAACCAAATTTACTGGGTGACATCTGGAAGTTCAGTTGGTTGGTTGTTTCAAATAAGGAAAAACATAGCTATTGAAAAGGGGTCCTTTAACTCTTCTAGTTGGTGTGTGTTCCTCTAGATCTGCAGATGGTCTCTGCCTTTTTTACTCTGTTGCTGATTCCTGGTGATGTAAGCACTAGCAGCTGGGACACAAATTCTCAAGGTTGTCATATTTCAAAACAAACCCCAAAAAGACTTTGGGCCTTCCTTATGAACAAAAAGGAGCCTGATTTCCTCACATGGACTAGATGTTTCCTCTCAGTTTTCTCTGCCTTCAGGATCTATAGGGCCCCAAGTAGAGCATGTGGGGTCAGAGGCAAAATTCACGTAACCCACATAATAACACCAACTTGTATGGGACTCTCTCCTCATTGATGAAGACTAATTATACACTGCTCCATAGTCATGTGAGGGGCAAAGTTGGTGAGAGCTTGAGAGAAGGGAGATCCTGGTATTCTGGTTTCCAGCTTCAAGAGAGAATACAAGTGGGTCCAGATTCTCTTCAGATCCTTGAAGGAAGAGAAAAACTCTGGGAAGAAGCTGATAGCAGAGGAGTCAGCCCCTCAACCACATTCCTATCCCCAGGCTACTTCACTTGAGACTTCAAAGAATTTCCCCTTAGGTAAGATCTGAGACTCCATCTCTTTATTGAATTGAGTAATCTTGCTCCTAATGGGAGAACCTGCTCTTTACTGCCTGATATATTCTCATATGCGAATACCTTCTCTGATTTCTGTTTTGCTATTGACTTGGATAAATGGGTTTATTTGCTATGCATTATATATGTTCATTGTAGAACTGGCATTTAGTAGGAAGGGAAATAGACTATTGGATATATAGCTGGGGGAACTCCTTCTCCATTAAGGGATGGCAATCAGAAGCTCAGCTTGAACCTAAAAGTTATTTCCCCTAGACTAATAATATTTAAAGGAGTAGATAGATATAATTCTAGCCAGTACCCTCCTCTTTCTGAGAAAAGCAAAGTAGCCAGCCTCTGGCCCCAACCTGCTGCTTCTTGTCCTGAAGGAATCAAAGTCTCCCTTGGAAAAAGGTAGAGAGAGGAGATTCTGAGGTATCTGTTCTTGCCTCCCTATGAACCACATCTAGACAGACACATTGTGGACACACATTACCTACGTGGGTAAAATACGTAAATACCTATTACACTCAAAAATTAAATCTCTACCAGTCCTTCAGCATGGATTTGTGAAGAGATGTTTGTAGTTGGTCTAATATGGAAGATGAGACAGCTTTTCACATAGGCACTTTACCTATGAGCATTTGGGTGAAGATCAGTGGAGAAAGAAACAGGTAATTTTCTCATCAGAGTATACTACAAGCCACTTAGAGAAAAAGCAAAGATAGATGAGTTTAGGTAACAGATCACAGATTCAAGACAGAGAAATTAAATAGCAACAAGAGACTTCAATTATCCAGACACCTGTTGGAGCTCTGTTTTCACTAAAAGCAGAGCAGATATGCCTTAATGATAATGTCACCCATCAAAGATGTAGGAAGCAAGAGGAAATTCTATTCAGGATATTATTTTCACAAACAGGAAGGAAATGGTTTCTGGAGGTGGAAATTCTGAGAATCTTGGAAGGAAGTAACCTCTCTCTTCTATGTGATATAGATGAAGAGAAAATCTGGGCATAGTGTGACATGCATCCTAGATTTGGGAAAGCAGATTCCAAAGTCTTCAGAATAGGAGTCTATGAATTAAAATGGAACAGAGGAGACTGAGAAATTTTCAGGAATTAAATTCTGAAGTCACAAAAGGAAGCAATTATAATAAGGAAGAAAACCAGGAGTTGTCTGAAGAGGCAGCATGGAACATAAGGAACTCACCAGCCAACTGAGATTTTTAGGATGTCAAAGGGGACACTTGATATTTCACTTGTCTGAGGTGTGTCTACTTCTCAGAAAAGCCTTTGCCGAGTTAAATCTGACTCAACAATTCATTTGCACGGGGCATAGGTCTGCCTCAGACTTCTTAGAGAAGTATTACTGACTCAAATCTGACTTAGAGTTACATTCAGAGACAGCAAGACAACAGTTGCTCATCTGTATATGACAAGCTGCTGCTGTTCACTAGAGTGATTTGCGATTTCCTTCTCCAACTCATTTTACAGATTAAGAAACTGAGTCAAACAGGGTTAAATGACTTGCCCAGAGTCATACAGCTAGTAAGTGTCTAAGGCCAGATTTGAACTCAGGAAGATGAGTCTTCCTGACTCCAGGCCCAGCACTCTATCCACTGTGCCACCTAGCTGCCCCATGACAAGCTGCAGAACAGCGGAAAACATACTATGCCTTGGATTTACATATGAATAATTAAGAATTAGAGAATTTTTAGGTTAATGACTAGGGAAACATGGACACTAGAATTATTCTATGATTTTGGGGATAAATTTATTTTACCTACTTATAGACAGAAGATGATAATTTGGTTACTAAGGTAAAGTCACTCATGGAAAGACTCAGTTGCTTAAGCAAGAAAGATTGAAGAAAGGCGAACTAGCAGATTTTGGAGTGGAAAACCATAATTTTCTCTGCAATATCACTTGTTGCCAGGTAAATTGATGGCAAATCCAAAGTTGTGTGTTTTCTATTGACACCTGCTTCTGAGAAGAATGGGAAGAAGGAACAGAGAGAACATAATCTGCTCTCTATTATGATTTGCTGCTCAGAAAAATAAGGAAAAGAGAGAATATAATCTGCTCTCTATTATGATTTGATTCTAGAAGACAGAAGCTAACTTCTCCACCCTAACTCTGTTGTGGCTGAAAGGTAGAGGACAGGAAGACTCCTAAAAAAAGGAGAGAATTGGAAAGTCTTTTTTTTTACCAACTTTAGAATAAATATCATTGCCATTTCTTAAAAGAGCATAATACTACTTTAGCTGAGGGCATCAGCTAAGCCCCAAGGTGGAAGTGATTGGTACTATAGTTGGTTGTTTGTTTGTTTGTTTGGTACTGTAGTTTCTGACAAGGAGTAAGTACAACTGAACAGAAGTCTGCTTGAAATCAGAGAATCAGAGAAGTATCCTGGATGAGATGTTCTGCCCAGTAATGTGTTAGGTAAACACAGTATGGACCAGCTGAGCTTAGCAATGGAAGCATCTGTTAAACACAGCAGCTATGGTCATCAGGGAACTTTTATGGACAGTTCCTGAGGCAGCAGGAGCATACCAAAGTTGTTCCAGAGTTGTGAATTGCCCTGGTCACATGTGTTCCCTACATATGTGCTTTACAATCTGGGACTTTTCTCATGGACACTGAATTCTGTGGAATAGTGCATCTCTGTCTCTGTCACACACACACACACACACACACACACACACACACACACACACACACACACTCCTTTAATCTCTTCCTGTCTACTGCCTCTCTTTTCCTGCTCTCTACAAACATGCTTGGTTCTACCTCTAAAAAAAAAAATCTTCATGTTTTGGCTACCACTTCAACCTATCATCTATGTCTCTCCTTCTTTTCACTATCACACACTTAAAAAGAGTTGTCTCTCCATTTCTACTTCTTCCACTCCCTCACTCTTCAACTCCTTGTTTTTTGGCTTCCTACCCATCTTAACTGCTTAAATCCAAAGGCCTTTTTTGCAGTCCACATCCTCCATGCCTTCACAACTTTTTACAGAATCACAGAATTTCAGAGTAAGAATGGATCCTGAAGTCTATCTACTTTAATCCAGACCTGAAAAATGATTCCTTCTGCAATACACTTGATGAGTGACCATTTTATAAGGCCTCCAATGAGGGTAACCCATTACCTCCTATAAATCTAATCCCTTTTCCATGTGACATGCCATCAAATACAAAGACAGATCTTGTATCCTCAATGCTAATTATCCTATTACCTCTGAACACTCTTCATAGAATATGATTATGAGCCCCAGTAGACTACAAATTCCTCAAAAGTAGGAACTGTTTCTATTTTGGGCTTTTAATCCCCAGAGCCTTGTAACATAGTTATTTGTTGTTGTTTTTCATCCTTCCTTCTCAAAGAAGACCAATGACATCACTCAACTTGCAAGTGAACTGGATTTAAGTGAGGCAGAGCTTCACAAAGACATCAGCCTCATTCTCTCTTCCATTCATCAGAGTCTAGTGGCAAGAGGATTCGCAATGGTGCAGGTGACCTCGGCCTTTTTAAATTAAGGTCTTTCCCAGCTCTCAGTTTGTTGGAGATAACACTCATTCCATGACTAAGGGCTAGGTTGGAATTGAGACAAAGAAGACTTGAGTCTGAGAGGGGAAGACACTCAGAGTTTCTGGCCAAAACAGAAAATTGCTATTTACAATCACTCTAAGCCACCTAAATGAACATGAGAAGCTTAAACTGGAGTCTATTATTGGCCATTCAATGAAAGCCAGAGTGATTTGGGTTTAAGGGGTAGTTAAGTAGCTCCATTTGAATCACAATGAGCTTTTTAAAAACCTGTTTTTCAGAGCTATATTTCTTGCCTTTTTTTTTTTGGTGAGGCAATTGGAGTTAAGTGACTTGCCCAGGGTCACACAGCTAGTAAGTGTCAGGTGTCTGAGGCCAGGTTTCAGCTCAGGTCCTCTTGACTCCAAGGCCAGAGCTCTATCCACTGTGCCACCTAGCTGCCCCTCAGAGCTATATTTCAAGAAATCATAAATAGAAATAAAAATATATTATGTTACATAATATATAAATAATGATAAATATATAAAGTATAGATAAATAAAATAAATATAAAATAAATGTAAAATTTTAAAAATTTAAAAAATTAAAATCATAAAGATAAAGAGTAAATTATCCCAGCTTCTTGGAAAAATAAATAGAAAAAAAATATTAGTCTAGCCCCCCAAGCCCCGAAAGATATCTTACAAAATATAAGCAACAAAAATCTTAATAAATGTTTGTTGCATTGAATTGCCACCAAATTATCTTCCTCACCATTGTGTTCATACAATGATGCTCCTTAAAACCCACCAGTGAATGTGTTTCCTTCCATCTAAAGGACAAATTCATGATGGTTGGCCTCTGTGCTCTCTATTAGTCCTAATCTACTTGAAGCAGCTTCCATTTCCTAGCCCTTATGCATAGGTAGGGCTTGATAGTTGACTGGATGATTAGTTGCTGATGGTATCAGAACAAATTGCCCATGGGAAAGGTGGGCATTTTGACCTATGATTTCATTGGTTTAGGGAATTCTGTAGGAACAAATTCCCTCTACCAAATCAGGTCAGCATTTGCCGTTCAACTTCTAATTGCCTGGAATTTAAGAGGTTAAATGACTTGCCTAGGGTCAGTACTTGTCAAACAAAGGACTTCAATCAGGACTCAGAGGCTAGCTCTCTTTCCTGTACTGCTCATTGCCCTTTAGAACCATTCAAACTACCTCATCTGTAAAATGGGAATAATATTAGCATCTACTTTTCAGGAGTTTTGTGAGGATAAAATGAGATAATATTTTTAAAGTGCTTTGCAGACCTTAAAGTTCTATATAAATGCTATTATTATTTATTATTATTGGAATATTAGGGCTCTTTGGGAACAAGGATGGCTCTACTAAGAGAACTTAACAATGACAATTCACTCTTTTGACACTTGGGGTTTTATAGTGATTTTTGTGACAGCCTAGTGAGGTGAGTAGCAGGAGTACTGTTCCCATTAACTCGCTTGCCTGAAGTTATACAGCTAGTGAATGTTGAGGCTAGAATTTGAGTCCAGGTGTCTTGTGTCTAAGTCCAGGGCTCTTAGACAGGTCATCTTTCTGAACTTCACTTTCTTCCTCACATATACAATGAAGGCATCGAATTGACTGGCTATTAAGGTCTCTTCCAGTCCTAAATTCGATCAAATGAATGAATGAGCTAGTTGTATTTCCAAGTGGAAATGAATGTCACTACCTTGTCAAAAGAAAAGTTCTGAAAATCCAAGTTTCATAAGTACTTTCTAATGTAGGAATGTGGAATGTGGAATGTCCACTGAATCTAGGTACTCCTTTGGGAAGCAAAATAAAAATAAAAATTCAATTACTGAAACAAAACATTTTAAGTGGGAGTTGGTCTTATGAAGAAGCATTTATGAAGAGGCAAATGTAGGCTTGAAACTTCCTAATAATCAGATAACAGAGAATTAGAGCTGTCTTTGGCTGCCCCAAGCCTGTACTGGGTTGTTTCCACTGTAAGTTTTCAACCACAGGTTGGAAAACGATTTATTAGATATGTGGCTGAGAAGATTCTTGGTCAGGCATAGAATGGACAAGATGGACTTTGAGACCCCTCCCAACTCTAATATTCTTTAAGTCTATGATCAAATGGGGAAAAAAATGTGCAAAAGCATTTATTTTATAAATGGCAAGGCATAATATAGATGTGAGAAATGATTATCTGTCATAGTATTGTCACTGTCCCTTCCTTTTGCTGAGTCAATGAGCTTGGAAACAAACAAAAAAGCAATTACTGAAACAAAATATTTTAAGTGGGAGTTGGTTTTATGAAGAAGCATTTATTTGGAGCTTATGTTGTGCCTAGCATTGTGCTAGGAACCATATGGTGTGTTTTGGACTAGAGAACTTGCAAGGTTCCTTCCAAACCTGAGTCCTGTTTTTCTGTGGTACTTAATGTTCCTCATACACAACCTTTTATCTCTTGCTTCTGTACACTTTCAGAGGCAGCCCCCAGACTTGGAATGCTACCCCTCCTCACCTCTGCCTTGTAGAGTCTGTATCTTCTTTTAAAGCACAATCTCCTACAGGGGACCTTTCCAGATTCACTCTCCTCTCCTCCAGTTATTACTGGTCTCCCACCACCACCAAAATTACTTTGTCTTTATTCAGCAAATATCTTGTACACATTTATCTTACTATTTCCCTACTGCATCCCAATAAGTTGTAAACTTTTAGAGGACAGGGACTGTTTCTTTTTTGTTTTTGGCATCCCAGTGCTTGGCACAGTACCTGCACATAATAGATGTTCAGTAAATATTTGATGAATTGAATTAAATCTGGCCCTTGACTTGTATTCGTTCAGGCACCTCCCAGGACAAGTACAATAGAGTGTCGGAGTGGAATGAACCCTCAAGGAGGTCAAGTCTAGTTGGGGTCAACAAGCCTAGATTTGAGTCTCAGCTCTGCCACTCATTAGCTGTGTGATCTTGGGTAAGTCCCTACAACTTCTGGGGCCTCATTTCCCTCCTCTGTATCACATTTGGTAGTACTCCCCATTTCTCTGCCCGCCATTTTCATCTTAAACATTGTATGAGGTCCTGCCTATACAGCCCACATCTCTGCTAAACAAGGCAAAACCACTGTTAGCACGTGGGCAGCCATGATGGATTCTAGGATTAACTGATTCTTTGTAGGCTACAAGCATTCTCCAGGGGAAAATTTGTGCCTCTCTGTTCCCATCTATTGTCCTGAATATGTCCCAAGAGGACTTCCCCCACCCTTCCATTTTGGGACTTTTTAATTCTGAATTCTGTAAAAGACATCCCACATACTTTTCCAGACCCACTTTCTCGGTGATTTCCCAGCTTTGAATTTGTACCACTGTTCTGTCTACACATGTGAATCTCAGGAGCCTCTGTCCCTAGGCCTGTTGGCTGCCTTTGATAAATATTTTTTTTTGGAGGATCTGTTATTCATATTGGTAACCTAGGACTCGTTGGGTATACAGAAAAATACAGTTCCTGTGAGGAACTAATAATCTGTTCGGGAAAATGAGAAATAAACATTTGAAATAAAAAACAACAGGGCATATACAGAATGTCCAAAGGTCTCAGTGAGGCTTTGAGCTTACATAAATTCAAATAGCTTAAATAAGTCAAGACTGATAGGGCATCTAGGTGGCACAAAGGCTAGAGAGCCAGGCCTGGAGTCCTGACTTCAAATCTGGCCTCAGACACTTACTAGCTGTGTGACCCTGGGAATGTCACTTAACCCTGTTTGCCTCAGTTTTCTCATCTGTAAAATGAGCTAGAGAAGGAAATGGCAAACCATTCCATTATCTTTGCCAAGAAAACCCCAAATGGGGTCGTGAAGAGTCAGACACAACTGAAAATATGACTGAAAAATAACTCAAAACTTCACTAAGACTTTTGGAACACCTTATATAAAACGGTACTAAACTGTATGGTGCAGACAACTAGAGAGTAATCCTATATCATGTCTTCTACAACATGGGAGAGGATGAACCTTTTGAAATATTCTTTTCACTATGCCATACCACTCATACAAATGAAATTAACTGGACTAATAACAACAATAATAACTCATACATGCATAGTGCTTTTAACTTTATAAAGCATTTTTTCATAACAACCCTGTGAAGTACCTATTTTTTTCCTTAATAGTATTTTTCCCAATTACATGTAAAGATAGTTTTCAACATTCATTTCTGTAAGATTTTGAGTTCCAAATTTTTCTCCCTCCCTCCCTTCCTACCCCCTCCCCAAAAAAGAAGCAATCTGATATAGGTTATACATGGAAGTCCTTATTTATTGAAAGTATTATCTCCATTTTACAGATGAAGAAACTGAGGCACAGAGGGATGATTTGCTCAGAGTCACACAGTACATCCTAAAGCCCGAATTTGAATCCATGTCTCTTGATTCCAAATACAATTATCTTTTTGCTATACCACATTGCCTTGACCTCGAGAATGCTGGTTAATTAAGATTTTGCTGTAATTGTTCTTTTATATCAGAGGTTCTTAATCTGGGGTCAGTGACCTTGTTCTTTTTTTTTAAACATCTTGATAAATGTATTTCAATATGATTGGCTACTTTTGTAAGCCTATGTGTTTCATGCATTTAAAAACATTATCCTGGGGGCAGCTAGGTGGTGCAGTCGATAGAGCACCAGCCCTGGCTTCAGGAGGACCTGAGTTTGAATCCGGCCTCAGAAACGTAACACTTACTAGCTGTGTGATCCTGCGCAAGTCACTTAACCCCATTGCCTAGCCAAAAAGAAAAAAAAAACATTATCCTGAAAAGGGATCCATAAGCATCACCAGACTGCCAAAGGAGTACATAAAAAAGGTTAAGAATTCATTTTTCCTATTTTAGGATCACAGAATGGTGACTCCAGATGTCTAGAGGTCATCTAGTTCAACATCCTCATCTTATAGATGAAGAAACCAAGGCTTGGAAAGCCAAAGCAACTCACTTAAAGTTCTACAGTGTACAATCAGCTTAAGTGATTTGACCAAAGGCACACAAATAATCAATGGCAAACTCCAAGGGTCTTGACTGCAAATCCTCTGCTCTTCCCATCATACCACATTATGTGTTCAACCGTCTTGCCTCAAAAACAGTAAGTTGCATTTATGTAGTGCTCCAAAGTTTACAGAGCTTTCCCGATTCTGTTGTCTTCTTTTAGAAGCCCAATGAGGACCCAAGTGTCTGATGCACCCATCCCTTAGATGCAGATGCCACCAAGAAGCATGCAATGAAGCATTAGTAAAGTGCTTGTGGCCCAAAACAGGCAATGATCTCAAAAATATCTGGTTTCTCATCTGAAGCTGTTGGAAGCTCGTTTTGGCCCCTTTGGCTTATGGGTAACCCTGTAAAGTTATCAGTAAAAACCTAGGAACCCAAAGGAAGGGTGGGGAAAGGATCTGTGGTTTAACATTTTTGGGATTTTTTTTCTCTTTCTGACTTTTGAAAAGTTTACATGTGCTGATCTAAGAGAGAAAGCCCTATAAATAGAACAGACCAAGGAGGAGGAAGAAGCCGCTTCATGGTTGGAGGAAGTCTATTTTAAGCAGAGGTCTTGCTTGTATGAACAAGGCCTTAGGTGGGTTTTTTCCAGGGGAAAATTTAAAGTCACCCATATTCCCCTCCCCAAAGAGCAAACTCCCCAGCCTTTTCTTGGGGAGCTTTAGACCTAGGACTTTATCAGCACTGGGGAACTTCTGGGGTGGAAAATCCCTCCAGTAATGCACATCAGGAACTCATGTGAAACTTAGAGTCTCAAAGAGTGAAGGGAAGGGGGAAACATAACACTGAGAAGCTAACAATAGTCACATAACTAATAGGTGTTAAAGGAGGGACTTTAACCAGGTCTTCCTGACTCCAAGATTGGCCTTCTAGTCATCTAGGCTGCTTTCCTGTTTCAACATTAGACTTGCCTCTAGGGTTGTTGCTTGGAATTCTTAAGCTCAGGTAGATCTTGAGTCTGCAGTTTACCCCTCCTAACCTCAGTCCTAGTTATAAAGTTAATGCTATATAAGCCAGTCATACTTCATTCTAGCAAAGGATCCTGTGGAATCTCCACTCCTAAAAGAAGAGTGGTCAAAGCCCATTGGAGTTAAGAGAACAATTACTATGGCCCCAGGGATAGTCAAGATGTAACAGAAAAAAGTCAGATTCTATGTTGAGTATGTCCAAAGCTCAAAGGTAACCAAATCCGAAGAGATAGTAAGCAACAGAGGGCTGCATAGAATGAGGGCTGGGTGTATGGGCATAATGTGGCAAAAGTAACCATTGTCCTGGAAGAGAAGGACTTAAGCCAGTGATGATGCTCACTCCTTGGGTCATCCATACCTACACGTGACTAGCACAATGCTAGAGTCAAGGGAGAAATAGGCATTACCAAGATGATGATTTGGTTCCATACAATGCCCTTACTGAGATTCACATCTCCAGCCCCTCCTTCCACGCTCCCCTATGACCCTAAACATTGGAGGAAGTATGCGAATGATGGAAAGAGCCTTGGATTTGTTATCGGAAGACCTGAGTTCAAATCTCAGCTCTGTCATTTACTCTTTACCAGCTGCATAAGTAATTCTGACACTTCCTATTTGAGCTTCCTTCCCACATCACCAACTGCCTATTGGATGTTTCAAATGGAAGTTCTAGAGTCATCTCAAACTCAACATGTCCAACAGTGAACTCATCTTTCTCCTCAAACCTTCTCCTCTTCCAAACTTCCCAATTGGTGTAGAAGGCATCACCATTTTTCTAGTATCCCAGGTCTGAAACCTTTGCATTACTATCCTTAAATCTTCACTTTCTCTTACTTCCTGTATCCAGTCAGATGCCGAATCTTGCCATTTCTACTTTCAAAACATTGATTACATCTGTCTGCTTCTCTGCACCCACACAGCTACCACTTTAATTCAGGCCCTCATCTTCTCTCATCTAGATTATGGCAACAATTGGTCTCCCTGCATAAAGTCTCTCACTATTGCAGTCCATGCTACATAGCTGCCAAAATTATTTTCACCCAGCACAGGTCTGACCATGTGACTCCCCTACTCAATCAATAGCTGTAGTTTCCTTTTGCCTCCAAGAAAGATAGAAATTCCTCTACCTATTAAAGTTCTATTTAATCTTGCCCCAGTCTCTCTTTCCCGTTTCCAGTTTCTCTTCCCTCATTCTTCAATCCAGCCAAGTGACCTTCTCTCTGTTCTTCACACGTTATCTCCAGGCCTTTGCCCTGGCCATCCTCCTCTCTGGAATGTACTCTCTCCTCATTCCTGCCTCAGAGGCCCTCTCTTCATTTAAGATGCAGCTCAGGCATGTTCTTTTGCATGAAGCCTTTCCTAATACCCCCAACTACCAGTGCCCTCCCTACCAAACTAATTTGTATTTAACTACTTGCATACATTTGTATTTATTCTTTTGTATTTATTCTGCATACATTTAGGTACATATTTGTTGTTTCTTCCCCACAACTCCATTAAAATATAAACTCCTCTTGAGTAAGGATTATTTCATTCTTTGTACTTGTATCACAATGCCTAACATGATGTCTGGCATGTAGCAGGCACTTGATAAATATTTGTTGATTGATTGATTCCTACCAATGTCATCTTGGTCAAGTCATATAAACTACTCTAGGCTTCAGTTTCCTGATCATTAAAATAAAGGGGTTAATTTAGAAGATCTCAAGGGTCTCATCCAGCTCTGTGTCCTATGATCCTTATGAACCATCACCCTTCTCCCTCCTCTGACTTAGTGAAGTACTATTCTCCAAGTCAGATCTAGCGTATGGGGAATAGATGCCCTTGCCATGTCCCTCATGCAACCCTAGCTGGCTGTGCTTATGAGAGGTTTTGACTGATGGAACCTTTCCCTAACTGAAAAGCCAGCCCTAGAAAATGACTGTGTGCTACTTTGTCAGCTAAGGAAGACCCCATCATTGGTATGGATCCCAGTGATTCCTCACCTTACAGTTAATACCTAGGTCTTCTGAAAGGAAAAGGATGGGCAGTCATGTTCCAATTTTGGCCTTACAGTTTTCACTTTCTCCAAATTCATCCGGGTTCTCGTTTCCTTTACAATGGACAATGACTTTTTTTTAAGTACCACAAATATTTTCCTTTAGAGTCACCCTGCCAAGGATCAGATTACTGAGTAAAATTGCCCTGAATGTACTCTTCAAAGACCTTGAGTCAGCTCCAGTGCTGTCTGACATATTTTATGAGTAGCACAGTGGCCTGCTTCCCCAGCAGACTTTGGCTCATATGCAGAAGCAAATGGTTTGATTTTTCATTTAATCAGAGAGGGTGCCTGCCATTTCCCAGGAGCCCATTTGTTAAAAGGCAAAGCTGGTGCATACTGCTCATCTTGGAAACCAGAATGGTTTGGAAACCAAAGACTGGTTGAAAACCAGTATTTCTCCTTTAAATGCCAAGAAAAAAGTGGAATGGGGAGTTCCATGTCATTTTAGAAAATGGCAGAGGAGGCTCGTTTATCAGATTTGCAGATGACACAGAGCTGTGAGGAATAACTGATAACGCTAGATGACAGAATCATGATTCAGACATAGAGTGGTAGACAGACTCCAACAAAATAAAAGGTAAAATCCTGCATTTGGGTTCAAAAAATCAACCATACAAGCACCCGTTAGAGGAGATCCTGCTTGACAGAAGTTCTGGTAGGAAAAAAAACCCCCAACCTAAGTACACTAAGTGACAATGAGCTAGTCGTATGATGTGTCTAATTAAAAAGATGGTGTAATCTTTGTCCCTGTTAATAGAAACAATGTCCAGAATGAAGAAGGTTAGCAGTTCAGCCAGCCTCTGTGATAGTCATACCACATCTGGACAGTTACATTTAATGCTGGGCTGGAAAAATCTCAAGGGAACCAGGACACATAGGCCTTCTATTTGACCTGTGAAATCTCTGGTTAAGGATGTGGGGTTGGGGAAGGGGTATGCTTTGGTTATCACCTGGTCAAACCAGAAATATTCCCTAGCTCAATGTTGTAGCTTGTGGTTTTGAACAGGAAATATCTGAGGAGCCCTGACTTCAGAAAGGAGGACAGGGGGTTCCCTAGAATGGAATCTGTTATAGCAGTCTGGAGGGTGGGGGTGGAGATGGGGAAGCACCTGACCAAGGAATCTTCAACTTTAATAAACGATAGGGGTGATTTCTTGACAGAAAGGTGATGAACTAAATATGCAGAATGAGATACACGTTTTTGGATATGGCCAATGTGAGAATTTGTTTTTTATTTGACTATACATATTTGTTATAAGGGTTTTGTTTTGTTTTGTTTTCTATTTTTCCTGGGGAGAGGGAAGGGAAAAGGGAGAAAAATAAATGCTTGATAATTCAAAAAGAAAAAAAATTATAGAGGCAGCTTGAGGAGTGATGGAAGTCTTAACTCAGCCACTATTTTCATCTGTACCCAGCAGGGGTTGTATATTTATATCACCACTTCACCATGGTGCCAATGTATTTTAAGGGACCCTAAAAGACCCTTTGGGAGCTCCAGCTGGTCCAAGCTATCTGCTGAGGCACACAGAGCCCATAACACCTGTGACACTTATCTGTAAACTACCTCTTTTGCTTTTCTGGAAGATTTCAAGGTGCTGACATGGGTCTGCTAAGCAAGCCCTACATGGTATGTGACCTAGTTAGATTACAGACCATTCTTCCCAACACCTTGCCATCAGAGGAGGAAAGTGCAATCAAAAATTTTTGGCTGTAAGAGTCTCCAGGTGTACAAAAAAGAGATAGGAAAACATTTTCCAAAGAGAATGCCAGATCTTTGTCTTGGCTCACCATCTGATGAACTCTTAGGCAGTTACCTGGTGAGTAAGGGGGGACCCTTTCATAGCAGGGCTGACATAGTGAAGCTAAATCTTGCCAGGGAAATGATGAAAGAAAATATTTCTAGACTAAAGGATCTCTAAGACCCTTTCTTGTCTAAAAACCTTGGACAAACATCTTAACTTTTCTGGGCCTCAGTTTCCTCACCTGTAACTGAAAAGTTAGAGACAGCTTAGCAGAGTGGAAAGAGCACCCATTTTTGGAATGAGAGGATCTGGCTTCAGATTCTGCCTCTGATGTTTCCTATATGTGTAACCCTGGGCAAATCACTCAATATTTCTGGGCTTCAGTCTCCTCAACTGTAAAATAAGGCGGATGAACCAGATAACCTTGGAAATTCCTTCCAGCTGTAGATCTATACTATAAATTGGACTGATAATATTTAAGGTTCTTTCCAACTCTAAATCTTACGATCATCTAAGCCTTTAAAATTCACCTTCAGAAGGTCTAGAAGTAATTCTCACCTTGTTAATCAATCCCAAAGAAGAAATAACTTCAGTGGTCCTGCATATAGCCAGAAATTTAATAACTACACTGATGGGTAGTTAAAGGCAGTTAAAGCTACAGGGTGATGCAGTGGAAAGAGCATCGGCCCTGGAGTCAGGAGGACCTGAGTTCAAATCCGGACTCAGACACTTTCTAGCTGCATGACCCCTCAGCAAATCTCTTAACCCTGATTGCCAATAAAAAAAAAAAAAAAGTTACGTAAAAGTTGCTTTCTCAATAATCATGCTATCTACTTCTCACTGACCTCAGAAGAGGTTAATAATGTCAACTTTGTGTATCTAAGAATCATAATGCCTTGATGCAAATTAGGTAAGAAATGGCTGTCTTATTCTTTACAATAAGAAAACCTCAGTTACTAGAAATAAATTTTATGTTTTAGTGCACAGAAAACAAAAAAGGAAATCAATGCTGAATTCCAGCAAAGTAATTGCTCCCTGTATATTTTAAATACATTCACTTACAAATTATGCTGCTTCTGCTTGCTGTTTGTCTTTCATTCTGGAAGAGGACCCTGACATCAGGGAAGAGATGCCATGGCACTCAAGTGAATTGGATTTAAGTGAGGGAGGATTGTGCAAAGTTACCAGCCTCATTTTCTCCTACAGAGCCATCTGGGTCCAGTGGCCAGGTATGGATCAGGACAGCTGGAGGTGGCCCTGGATGCAGTGGCCTTTTCAAGCTAAGGTCTTTAACAGGTCTCAGTTTGACTGAGGCGGCACATATTCAGTGATTAAGGAGTAATACAAAAATGAGACAAAGAATGGCCTCTTAAAAAAAAAAAAGATCTGGAAGGGGAAGACGCTCCGGGTTTCTGGCCAAAACAGAAACAACTGTTATTTACATTCATTCTGAGACAATTAGGGCCCACACAGGGACCAAGTAGGGCTTGCTCTGGGATCAGAAAGATATAAACTGCATTAACCTCTTCTCTCAATGTTCTTGTTTGCCCCACTTTGGAATTCAGCATTGTAATACCTGATCTGTAACCCTTTATTATCCAAAAATTTGTTGATTTTCAAAACAAGAACACTCGGAATCACTCAATCTCAGATCTGGAAGGAACCTTAGGGGCCACCTGATACAAACCTAGACCTGACCCAGAATCCCCTCTGTGACAATTTCAAGAAGTGGTCATTTATTCTACCCCCTTACCTCTCAAAGCAGCCCATTCTATCTTTTGGCTAGCTTTAACTAGTAGAAAGTTATTACTTATATCAATCCTACATCTGCTTCTCAATAACCGGTACCTTCCTTCCCTACCTATAAGACTTCTATTCCCCAGTTCCTTCAACCAATCTCATAGAATTAAGAAAGGTCCCCTTCAATTTTTTAAGCCTTTACTACCCCCCAGGTTCTGTGTGGAGATACTTTGGGGCAGTGCAAATTGTGTAATTGTGTCTATCGGTAGGGGGCACTACCAGCCTATCAAACAAGAGCCATTAAACCCAAATAAGTGTGTTTAAGCCAGGAAAGCAAGTAACTATAACAAGGGGAAGTCAAACAACGAATCTTTCTCTGACTTTCATTTACAAAATGGTACATTTCATCACAGACTATCACACCAAGGAGATCACTCCCCCAGGTAACTCATGCTCCTAGGTAAAGATGCACAAAAGTTGGCTCCCCTCTCTGCCTCTAAAGATGTTGCTGCCATCTGCTGGACCTGTCATCTGATGCTTTAACTTCATGCCTCCAAGGAGTGTTAGACTCTTCCCTGAGCTAATATGCCTGAGGATGAACCGACATGTTTTTAATTCTTTTATTAATCAGGTCCACCGGATAATACTCTGGATCTTTTTGAACCCCAAGTGTCTCCCTTAATAGAAAGTCTCCCAGTTCTCCTGGCTGGTTTAGGGAGAGCTAATGAATTCCTTCTTACCCTCCCTTACACCCCTGAAAGTTAGCACTTGGATCTGCAGCTCCTAGGCAGCGATATTTATTGAAGATGCAATTCAGTATCACTTTATTCATCATGGTGTGGACTTGACCTCCCCATGGCTCTACTGATGGTTGGTTTTAATACAAATTCCCCTGCAGGAGGAATAATTCCAGGGCACAAGGGCCTAAGGGTGAAGACACTGAGACATTGTCACACCAGTGCTGAAGAACCCAAAGGACTGATGGGAAGGGACTCTCAAAAGCGAACACACTGCTACGGGTTCTTTAACTATAGTTTTACAATATTTTTGAACTTGAAATAGTAGTCATCCATCTGGGGACCTTGTCTATAAACCTGTGAGTATTGATTTGGGGGAATAGCCCTAAAGTGGGCACTACATATATTTTGATGTAATTTAATTGATGTGGGTCCTTTCTCCACCAGCACAGATTGTACTTGCCTCTTCCCCCCACTACCAAGTAGGCTCCATGTGTTTCTAAGGCTGAAAAAAATCATCACCTGGTGGCAGGGGTATGCTTAGGATAACTGATTGTTCAATTTTCAGTGTGAGCATTTATATATCAGGAGAAAATAGAGTTTGATTTACTATTTTATTGATTGCCTAGATGTAAAAAAGTGATGAAAAAAATATTAGCAATGCAGATTAAACTTTAAAAGGTATCATATTGCTAATATGTAAACCAGGAAGAGCAAAAACAGAAAAAGAAAACTCTGGAACAATTTCCATAATGAATATTGATGCAAAAATCTTCAATAAAATACTAGCAAGGAGATTACAGTAATATGTCACAAAAGTCATATACTATGACCTGGTGGGAATTATACTAGGAATGCAGGGCTGGTACAACATTAGGAAAACTATTAGCATAATTGACCATATCAATAAGAACAACAAAAATCATATGACTATCTCAATAGATACCAAAAAAAAGCTCTTGACAAAATACAACATTCATTCCTCTTAAAAAACACAAGAAAACATAGGAATGAATATAGCCTTCCTTAAAATGATAAGTAGTATTTATCTAAAACCATCAGCAAGCATTATCTGTAATGGAGATAAGCTGGAAGCTTTCCCAATAAGATCAAGGGTGAAGCAAAGATGCCGATTATCACCACTACTATTCAATATGTACTTGAAATGTTAGCTATAGCAATAAGAGGGAAAAAAAAAGAAATCATTCTTTGTAGATCATATGATGAAATACCTATAGAACTCTAGAGAATCAACTAAAAACTAGCTGAAATAATTAACAACTTCAGCAAAGTTGTAGAATATAAAATAAACTCACATAAGTCATCAGCATTTCTATATATTACCAACAAAATATAGCAGCAAAAGACAGAAAGAAAAATTCCATTTAAAATAACTGCAGACAATATAAAATACTTGGAAATCTACCTGCCAAGACAAACCCAGGAACTATATGATCACAATTATAAAACACTTTTCACACAAATAAAGTCATATCTAAACAACTGGAGAAATATTAATTGTTCATGGGTAAGCTGAACCAATACAATAAAAATGACAATTCTACCTAAATTAATTTACTTATTCAGTGCCATACCAATCAAACTACCAAAAAATTATTTTGTAGAGCTAGAAAAAATAATAACAAAATTCATCTGGAAGAACAAAAGGTCAAGAATATCAAGGGAATTAATGAAAAAAAATGCAAAGGGAGGTGGCCTAGCCATACCGGCTCTAAAACGGTATTATAAAGCAGCAATCATCAAAACTATTTGGTACTGGCTAAGAAATAGAGTGGTGGACCAATGGGATAGGTTAGGTACACAAGACACAGTAAGTAAATGACTATAGTAATCTATTGTTTGATTAACCCAAAGACTCCAGCTTCTGGGATAAGAACTCACTATTTGACAAAAACTGCTGGAAAAACTGGAAAATAGCATGGCAGAAACTAGGCGTAGACCAACATCTCACACCCTATCCCAAGTTAAGGTCAAAATGGGTGCATGATTTAGACATAAAGGAAGATACTATAAGTAAATTAGGAGAGCAAGGAATAGTTCACCTGTCAGATCTATGAAGAATGGAAGAATTTATGACCAAACAAGAGACAGAGAGCATTATGAAATGCAAAATGCATAATTTTAGTTACATTAAATTAAAAAGATTTTGCACAAACAAAACCAATATAATCAATATTAGAAGGAAAGCAGAAAGCTAGGGAACATTTTTTATAGTCAGTGTTTCTGATAAAGGCTTCATTTCTCAAATATATAAAGAACTGAGTCAAATTTATAAGAATACAAGTCATTTTCCACCTGATAAATGGCCAAAGGATATCAACAGGCAGTTTTCAGATGACGAAATTAAAGCTATCTATAATCATATGGAAAATGCTCTAAATCACTATTGATTAGAGAAATGCAAATTGAAATAACTCTGAGGTACCACCTCACCTATCAGATTGGCTAATATGACAAAAAAGGAAATTGATAAATGTTGAAGAATATATGGGAAAATTGGAACAATGATACATTGTTGGTGGAGTTGTGAACTGATCCAACCATTCTGGAGAGCAATTTGGAATTATGCCCAAAGGGCAACCAAAACTCAAAATTTCTAAAAACAAATGTTAAAAAATTTTATGTGCAATTGAGAAAACATGTATCAGAAATACATTTTCCCTCCAGAGAGCTGGTTGTTAGACATTTATCAACACACCCCTGCCTGGTTCCCACTTTCAAAAGATGACCATCTCCACACTTCATTGACCTCAAACAACAGACACACAGCTTGCCAAAATTTTTGCCCAACTAGTTCTACTAGCATAACCTTCCAGAAACCAGGCTCACTTTGATCCTAAAAATAGGCACCAGAACAGGAATTTAATGAAATTGTTAGTCACATACTGTCTAGTATTATTAGTTATCCTTTAATGTACTTCTATCATGTATGACCAACTAGATAACTGCAGGGTTGTGGTGGCAAATATTTAACAAGCTGGGAGTGGGGAGAAGCAGGGGGGAAGTACTCACAACACACTTTAAAGTTTAATATGCATTATTAACATTTTCTCCATCACTTTCCTAGGCCTAGATAATCAACAAAACAATAAATCAACCCCCAATTTGCCATTAGCTGATTATTGAAGTGTATATGCTCACACTGAAAATTCAATAATCTCTTTCTTTTGAGTGGGGAAGCAAGGCAGTTCAGGTTAAGTGATTTGCCCAAGGTCACACAGCTAAGTAAGTATCAAGTATCTGAGGCCAGATTTGAACTCAGGTCCTCCTGACTCCAAGGCTGGTGCTTTATCCACTGCATCTTCTAGCTGCCCCTAATAATCTCTTTCAAGATGGATCTAGCATACCCTTAACTATAAGCTCCCTGATCTACCTAGACGTTTTGCCATTTGCCCTAATGTCTTAGCATTCCCCCCTGAAATCCCACCCTACCACACCTTTCTACCTCTTGCTCTGGAAATAATAATCAACCAGTACCAGAAAGCATTTGACAGCTGAATGTGCTAAGGTTTCTTTCACTCCCTAACCAAAACTCCCTTCCCAGACACTCACATGTGCTGGAACTCTCTATTAGAATGTTGAAATATAAACTCTTTAAGGATCTGGACTGTCTCACTTTTGTCTTTATATTCTCAGAGTCTAGTGCCTGATATATGGTAGGCACTCAATAAATGCTTTTTCTTTCATTCATTCATTCATTCATTCATTCATTCATTCATTCATTCATATAGGTAGTCAGTAAAATGTTTGTTGATTATCTTATTCCCTGATCTTATTGATCCAAGGAAGGAGATTCTTCTTCTAAAGAGGGTGTAGAATGTGATGAAATTTAAATACCTTGCCATCTTCACAGTAGGGATGAACAAATGCATCTGTATCTTGTGGTCTCTCTAATATCCATGGTCTGTGGATACGAAATAAAATTCTATGCTCCAAACAAAACAAAACAATAAAGCTTTAAGAAAACTGGCAGGATTCATTAAAGCCCTCAGCTTGCAATGAATTCTTCTCAGTACCGGCCACTAATTCAGAGGAAATAATTTCCGTAGGTTTCTAGAGGATTTTAAACAAAATCTTGACATCTAAATTCTGTACACTATTATTTAGATTCAGAATTATAGTAATTCTAGTTTTAATAATGTTGAGGGGAAACTAGTGGCAGAGTCTGCAAGTATGTCAAGCAGTGACTGGAACAATTTCTCAGAAAAAGTCTCACAAAGAAAATCAATAGGAAAGCCATCTGTGCCCTGCGCCTTTTCACCTCTCAATTGTCTAATTGCCCTTAATACAGTACTTTGCCAAGGTCAGTAGGGGCACCCAGCAAAGAGGTTAAGTGGTTTGTAAGTGAAGGCAAATTAATCTCATCCAAACAATTTTTAGTAGTATTGCAAAGGTTCACATGCTCTCTCCTCTGGTAGTGACTGGGCTACAGATCTGGACTCTAGAGCTCTTTGGCTCAGAACGCCAAAAATGCACATAGAGTAAGGAGGGATCTTTACTGGTCTGGTTCCAGATATTCTCTGAGTTTATCTCTTGTCATTGTAATGGCACTTTACACTGATCAGCTTTGGAGGCCTCTGGATGACCTAACCAGACTTACACCTGATTATTCCAGCTTAAAAATAATGGATAGGGACTGTAATTTCTCTGGGAGATGAAACTCCCAGCTGAGGAAATTCTCTCTACCTGTATAGCTCAGCATCTTATAAGAAATTTAGTCTTAGAGAATTGCCAAGAACACTGAGAGGTTGTGACTTGCTCACAGTCACAGAGCTAGGATGTGTCAGAAACAGAACTCCATCTTCCATCTTCTCACCTTTGAGGGCGTATGGTACTCACTCAGCTACATTGTCTCAGCCTGCATTTTGTGGGAGAGGAGGGGCAGGGAACGATATAGTAAGTGGAAGCAAGGAGGAAGGATAGGGTTATTTTTTGGTTTTGTTTTGGAGACAATTAGAGTTAAAGTAACTTGCCCAGGGTCACACAGCTAGTAAGTGTCTGAGGCCAGATTTGAACTCAAGTTCTCCTTACTGCAGGGCTGGTGTTCTACCCATTGTGCCATCTAGCTGCACCTAAAAAATGGGGTTATAAATTTATCCTTCTTTACCTATTTTTTGGGGGCCATGCCTAATTATTACTCAGGCTCTAGCCCTGTGAGATCCTATTTATCAGCTCTGTTTTCCCATTTTTATTTCTTATTATCTTCAACAGTATGGTGTAGTGGCTATAGAATCAGCTTTGCAATCAGCAAGACCTTGGTTCAGGTCCTACCTCAGCTGCGTACTGGCTTTGTGGCCCTGGGCTAATTACTTAACTTAGTACTCTAAAAGCTACAAAG